GGCACCTGTGTCGTGCAGTGCCTGCAGAGGATAGAAGAGGCTGTTAGATTCCCTGGAACTGTAGTTACGGGCAGTTTTTAGCTGCCATATGGGTGCTGGGATTCGAACCTGGGTCTTCTGCAAGAACAACCAGTGTTCTTAACTTCTGAGCTCTCTCTCCAGCCCCACCACTTCAATTCTTACTGAATCTTATCTGTCCTCAACCAAAAGAATCTTAAAAAATTATTTGCTTGTAGGTGTTTTTTGAGGCAGAGTCTCACATAAACCAGTTTCTCTCAAATTTCCATGTAGTGAAGAATAGTTTTGAACTTCTGATCCTCTTGACCCCACCTCCCAAGTACTGGATATTGGCATGAACCACCACACCCAGCTATATTGTGCTGGGGATTGAAGTAAGTACTTTGAGCACTGCCAGACCAGTTATTTTTTTCTTTTTCAGGAAAAGCCGCTGACAGCCACTGATGCTCTTATTTTTCTACTACTGATTTAAGTTGGACTAATTCCACATCTACTGTGTTAAATAATGTTCCTTCAAAATTATGTCTAAACAGAATTTGTATAGGTCACCTCATCTGAAGATACTGCCTTTGCAGGTGTAATCAAGTCAAGGTGAATTCATTTTAGTTTAGGATGGACCCATATCCAGTAAGTAGTGTATTATGTAAGGAAAGGGCCATCAGGACACATGAGGGCAGAGCGTCACATGTTGATGAACAGCAGACTGGAGTCTGGTACCAAGGAACATGAGGGATGACCAGTGAGACAACCAGAGCTGGAATATACAAGGGGAAATTCTTCCCAGGATTCCTAGGAGGCACAGTTCCACCACCTGGACTGAGGACTTCTAACCTCCAGAATTTTAAAATAATAAATTTCTACTGTTTTCAGCCAAAACACCCATTATAATTTGTTGGCCTAGCACCAGAAGACAAATTCAACGTCCTACACAGAAATGTGCTCACATTTCTAGTCATTTACCTTGTTACTTGGGTATGATTATTTATTAAAGAACATTTACAACACGAAGTTTTATTTACTCTAAATACCACATATTAGATACACAATTTCAATTAACTAAAATAAACAGTACAAGAATACAATGAAGTAAATATTGCAACATTTAAAATTGGCCTCACATAAGCAACAAAAAATGCCAAATATTGTTATTAACATCTTTATCTTACTTAAACAGGAAACAAAAGTAAAGGCAGATGAATGACTATAATACATTGCCTCCCTCTGAACAGTCAAAAACCACAACTAAATTCATTTACTTCAATTTAACTTACTCAAATTTGCTCTTCTAAAACACACACACATCATATTCTTAATTGGTAAAATAATTTCACAAGTATAAAATTAAATTGCTCCATCTTCCACCACCCTCCACCATCATAAGAAAACAGTATGTGAATATACAGCTTTCCAACCTGTCTACTAAGCATGCCATTCCAGAGTTTAATGGAAAATACTGCGTTAAGTAAGGAACCAGAAGTATTAGAGATAAGTTGGTCAATGAGCAACCCGTACACAGTACAAAACTTGACAAAACTACTAAAGTTAAAACAATGAAGAGCCCAATGCATGTTTTAAAAACAACCCCTAAAAAGCAAAGATTAAATAAGTTCATGTCACAAAATCCATCTTCCTCCTTAAAAGTCATATTTACCTGCCTGTCCTCAGAATTCTGTTATTAATCAGGTTCAGGTTCTCCTTCAGGGTAGGGAGAGGCTGCCATACTGATGGCTGACAGCAACAGGCTTCTTTGCAACAGCGGGTTCAGGCTCTTTCCTTGTTAAGCGAATTCAATCTGACCTAAACTAGCCTCTGTACTTGGGTGATAAAATTGGGGTGGCCTCTTGGTACGTGGTGAACTGCAACCTAGCTTGAAGCAAAAGCAAGAAGTAATCTAGCCTAGCACTATATCTTGGTATCAAGCAACTGAATGTCAACCAGTCATGGTGGCTGAAGCCCAAGGCAGTCCCAGGTTGAACACTGCCAACTTACACTCCTGTGCTGGGTGATTATGTTTCCGTTGACAGGGATCCTACTACAGTACAGTGGTCCTATGAGTCCTCCCCATGCATCTGAGCAAACCTTCCTTCTTTCTTTTTATTTGATGAATTGGATGTCAATAAAGAGGGCATGGGTGTCTAAGTTAGACAGAATCTTAACTGGGTTCAGAATAAATTGATTTGACAGTTAAATGGATGGGATCCAGTTAAGAACTATGGTTAGGGATTACTTCAGTTCTTTAGTTATTTTTTGATTTAGGATAATGGTTTTTGTCACAATCCAAAGAGTCTGGTATTCCATCTTTGGGGACACTTGCTAGGCTCATGTGTCAGAATTATGGGTACAAACAAGCATGGTTTGTAGGGGAAACAGATCTATTAATAACAGACTAGAGAAACAATGGCCACACTGAGGAAGTTTTCATTTGGACAGAAATGTTTACATTTACAACACATACAATCTAAACAAAGACCCATCCTCAAAAAAGTGTTCTTTAATTGGCATGTGTAAGTATCTAGACTAAATGAATCAAAAGTCACTTCCTTAAAAAATTCTTTGGTGGTAGGAGAATACAGAGATGGCTTGGCAGTTAGGAGTGTGTACTGCCCTTGCAGAAGACCTAGGTTCCCAGCACCCAAGTTGTGCAGCTCACAACTGCCTATAACTCCAGTTCCAGAGGATTCAACATCTGCGTCCTTTATGGGCACCTGCACTCATATGCACATGCACACACACCACACATATACACACACACTTTAAAAATAATAAAAATAAATGTCTAAGAAAGATTCTTTGGAAAAATAAAATGGAAAGCTTAAGGGACAAACTGTGGACAAGAGGAAAGAGGACTGCACTTGGACCTGAGTCTGATGACTCCTTCTCCCCATCTATTTTCACCTAAACACTGAGTCAGTGACTCTTTTAAAATGGATTTCCTTTTCTCCTTGAGATTATAAAAGAGAAAGTTAAAAATAGAGGCCTTACAAATGGAGATCTTCTGACCAAAGTTGCCTGTGTTAAACACTTTCATTCCAGGTTTATAGCAGAACCTAAAGCCATTTTAAGGACCCCCCTCCCTGCTGCAACCCCCCAAAAAAGTCTCAAACATTTTCAAGGAATTTAGACTCTTGATAAGTGGGATACACCATTATTTTACCAACCCATTCTCACATCATTAGGACTTGAAGAAGCCTGAACTCTGAACATGTATGACAGAAACAAACTAGAAAGAATCTATTATTAAAAATCATTCTAAAACCTCTTAGTAACCAAGGGATGGGCCAAGAGGCCTGGGGAAATTGAGAAAAGCCTTTTAAATTCAACTCCTGAAGTTTTTCCATAAGAAACTGGGTGGGCCATTATACACCTCATAGGTAAAAAAGGAATGAACCAGTTTCAGATTACAGAGCTCACTCAGAAACACTGTGAAGCATTTTGAGGTAGAAATGCAACAAGGACTATTTCTTACAGGGACTGAAATGGCATTAATTGCTTTATTTGTACATGAACTTGACCCTGAATTAGTAGTTTACTTAAGAAACGTAAAGCTGGGCAGGGTGGCACACATCTCTGGTCCCAGCTACTTGGGAGGAAAAAAAGAAAAGAAAAAAGCTGAGATGGGAAGTCACAGGATGCTTAATTACTGGCCCTGGCTGAGGACTTTTGAGGCTCCAGGCTCAGTTCTCCCCAGCTATAACAATTACAGGGACAATCCCAAGCCAGAATGTTTTTCTTGTCCTAATTTTAAACCAAAGATGAAAGTACACAGAACAAGGAAATCTATACCTCTGGGTGGGTGTCTGCCTTTGCTGTTGGGGGACAAGGAGATCATACCCCCTTTTAATGACAGCCTGCCAATCATCCTCTTTCCTTTGGAACAGACTGTTTTCTCCCTACAGACAGCCCACAAGAAAATAATCAACATTAATGAGGCTCAGTGGGATTTTCCAGTATAATGTTCCTCATTAACAGCCTTGAGGAGACAGAGAAAAATGAAATAAATGGGGCATCCTACACTGTCCTAGTGGATACTGGAGCCACTTAATTTAACAAAATTTTAATGAGTCAGCATGTCCCTGGAGTAAAAAGGTCATTTCTGTGGTAGGAGACTCAAGCCATAGGTCCTATATCTGGCCCTGTCTGGATGACAGTGGGGTCATGTTTAAAAGAAAGCGCCCTGTTTCCGTGATGCTGTGTCAGTGAACTCGTGAAGGCAAAGCCTACTCTCTAAACTAAAGGGACACGTTAGTTTCTCTTCAGAAGGTGAAATAATCTTAGCATTTCCTGACTCTGCAGCACCGGAATTGTTGGGTCTCTACAGGTAGAAATTGGTATGGGTGGAGTTCTGGCCTTTTGTACCCAGTTTTCCTGAACTGCCTGAATTCTTATGCATGATTTCTTCTGACACAGTAGGTAAAAGCGTGGAGTCTATAAAAGTCCAAATAGACTGAGCCCACCTGAAGAAAGTGAGGGCTCTCCCCACTGTAGGAGACTTAAAAAGGGACTTTGAAATCTGTGTTGACACTCTAATCCCATCAGTAAACAACCAAATGGATGAGCTTAGAGGTCGACCAACAATTAATAAAACGACACCTAGGTTTCTTGTTGTTTCAAATCCTAACATCTTATTGTCTAAAGTGCCCACGGTGTCAAAATGGTTCATAGTAACAGACCTCTATTCAGCTTGATTTCACATTCTAGTTATAGGGAAAGATTATTATTTGTTTGCCTTCATGTGGAAAAGCCAATAGCATACCTGGGACACAGCACCACAGAGGTCTATGAAAGCCACTTGTTTTCCCAGACAACTGCAGTGTGCAGTTGACCCTTTGCTGTGTTTTCCCACTAAAGATAGCTCTGAAAATGACTCAGTTTACCTCTTATAGGGCTTACAGAATGTCACGGCATTCCAATGGAAAGAATCAGCATTCAAGACAAAAGGTCTATTATTTAGAACACAATCTGACTGTTTAAGACATTTCTTATCTGAGAGAATTAAAAACTATTTGTTTTCCTTGGTCTACAAAGAAAAGATAAACAAAAGGTCTGCTTGGATTTGTGGCCTACTGTGGGTTCCAAATCCCCTAACAGCCTTGCTATTATAGGAACTGACTAGAACCTTAGCCTTGAAAAGACAGGGAGGAGCAGCTTTCAGTGAAGCTGGCCTTGTAATCAACCCCAGTTGTAGGACTTACAAATTATACTAAGTCTTTCACATTATTTGTTCATGAGCATAACCATCAGGAATCAAAGTTTTAGACAAGAGGGTGGAGTGGACTGAGGACCACTGTGTGCACATGGCAGGGAGAGTAAGGGACGTCCTAATGGAAAGCAGCAGTAGCAGAGGCCACTAAGAACTGGCAGAGGCCTCATCTGAGTCAATTTTAGGGAACGAACTGCTCTTGCATGCTCTATAAGCTGTGGAAAGTTTACTGAATTCCAATCAGAGTAGCCCATGAAATTCTTTTGTCTTCTTTTGATCTCCATCTAAACCATTGCAACCTACTGAACCCTGCTACTTTACAACCATTTCTGGACAAGATGGAGACCATGACTGTGTGAGTTTAGTATTGGGTTTAATGAACTGGTGTGTTGATTTATGAGTTTCTCTATTATATAATATGTACTAGATGGTTTTTGTTCACAGATCTTATATCAGGAACTGAGAAGGAAACCACGGGCAAGGTGCGTGCTGCTCCTGGACCCATTCAAGTCCTTCTATGATGAGGGTCTGTTAGAAGTGAAAAACCCTATCTGTTTCCACAGCATACTCCAGCCCAGTATGAACAATAGGGAAGGGATCTCTTTCCATCCTAAGTCACCTCAACCCGCAGAGCTTGCTCAAGTTTGTCAGAGATCTAAAGACAAAGTGGGAGGTATTCATGCAGTTAGTAATAAGCTTTTGGAGTTGTTTAATTCTCATATGCTATGGAAACAGGGTTTTTCACTTCTAACAGACCCTCATCATAGAAGGACTTGGATGGGTCAAGGAGTTCCGTTCTATTGTTCAGCTGCCATTACAAACTGTGGTTAAGACTGAAGCCCATGAATGGACTCTGAGTGTCATTCCTGTTCCTGCCTGGTCTCAGTGCTTCTCCATGTGCCCTGGCTGATGAGTCTCTCATTTCTAGAGGAACTGAAACAATAAACTTTTCTCTCAATGGCATTCACCCCTCTATGTCATCATTCAGTCTCCTTTATAAATTAAGACATGAACACAATTCAGAGATAATTTGACTTGGTAGGCAAGTGAGGCACTTTTTCTTCAGTATTTTGTGATTCTAAAAGGTTATGATATAGGCTGCTCCAGTCGAGCGTTGAGTGTCAGATCAAGTTAGGTGGGGAGCTGGAAAGGTGCAAAGGCTTTCGTGGGAGTCAAAAGTCACTGCTCAGACTTCCGTGTCTTCCACAAAAGAAAAGGAGGTAACAACATTCAGGGTTCAGTTTTTTTTCCCTACACGGCTCACACTACCCATTCAGATCTCATTTCACTAGGAATGACATTTTGGTGAACCATACTATTAGAAGACTGAGCAGGGATGTGCTAAGGAGAAAGAACTCTTATCTGCTGCCTGCCTCCACTGTCCATATGACCAAATATAGCTAACTCACAGCCATATCTGGTAAAAAAAAAAAAACCCAAAAAAACAAAAAACAGAGTCCACATAATACAGCTATGCCAATATAAGGTTTTGAATGTGGTTCTGGCCAATTTTTAAGTAAATTTATGACAAAATTATAATATTATAGCACTTTATCACCCATATATTTTGTTTCATGATGATTCAAAAGTCTTGTGGTGAAACTTGACACATGTAGTAATAGAAAATTTACTAAAATGTCTTGGTGATCCTGGGGGAAAGAGTTTGGGGGTGATTTGACAGAAAAGGACACATTTCTGGTCATGGAAATGGTACAACAGAATAGAATTTGATAAATAGAGAAACATTGTAGCTCATGGATAAGCCTTACATTTTAAAATTATTTTAATTTGGAACTTTAGAAAACATCCTAGCTTTAGGTTCTGAAATGGGGACACACAGGGAACAAAACATACAAAACCATATGTCATGGGCTTTCTGCTGCATTTTGGTCACAAGCAGGTGGGTAACTATGAGTCACACCACACAGGAGAATGGATGAAAAAACACCTATCAGAATTTACAGCAAGGCATAAGAGAACAGACTCCCACTGACTCCCGGTCCTCTTCTCTGCTTTCATTCTGGTATAATTAGAGCGTTCATACTATAATGCTTTCAGTAAAATTAAACTGGAATGCCCTAACTTTAAATGAGGGCTTATATTATTTTCTGTGACTACAGAAGAAATGATAAGAAAAAGACAAAGTGAAAAGGTGGGAGAGGGAAGCTGACAGATGGCTGGGTTTTAGCTAGATTTGTAGCAAAGCAGAGTTTGGGTGTCTCTAAGTTTGGAAATGGAGGCTTCCTTCATAACATGATAGTGGGATACACTCTCACTTTGGTTAACTTCCTCACACACAGTGTCATCCATGAACTCAGTAAGTATTGGTCTACTACTGTGCAATATCTGGAGGTGTGCTGTGAAACAGAACATAAGGCAATCTTACAAATTCCCTTTGGTATCAAAACCCCAAAACTGGCATTGTTTTCCTTTACATCGTCACTGCACAGGCTTTTATACAAAAACACTCAGGATGAGAAGACTCAGAAGAGGCAGACTTAATCAGAAGAACAACCCAATGGTACTGATTCCAAGTATTTTGGTGAGGTATAACATCTAACAAGTAAGCATGAGGAAGCAAAAGTCTCCAAATACCACCTCAGCACAGAATTGAACTTCAGGAAGGCTCCTGGAGAAACTGATCACAACAGTTATTTAAACACTTCCAAATGGAAAAAGCAACACAACTTCATATATCATTAAGGTACAGAAAAATTTCCAAAAGAGAATAGCCAAACACATTAGTCTTCACAAATCCCTTCCAGTAAAGGTCTTCTGGCATGTGAGATGCAGTTTTGGTTTAAGTGGTCAGATTCTGTTATAATGATGAGGAAAGTTGAATGCTACTATTCATGCATGAAATTGCTTGACCACAGTGCTTTTAATTCATGTTAATTAAGTTACACAGGTATAATATTTTCTAAGTCCCACAATAAAACTGAGTTTTAGCTACTGAAAACTACAATAAAATAAATGAGCATTATGATCATAAGGTCCTTTTAATAAAAAGTTTGGTGGATTGATGAACCTTCAATATTTTGTATTCTAAAGTATATTTTTTAACCTAAAAAAAATCACATATCTTGGATGAATAAAGCAAAACTTGTCATTGAGATTTGTTCAGTGGTTGTGGGGTAAGGATGCTTACTTCACAAACTAAGAAGCCCTTTGGACTAGCTGGATAGGATAGCAGGAATGTCTCAGTATTTCAGATTCAAGTTAGTCTGATCAGTATTACCAACAAATATTGGAGGCCAGAAGTTATTACTGCTACTAGTTAATGGATAATTTCTAGTCTAATAAACATAAAACTTTATTTCAAAAAGAAAATCCAAAGACAATTTTCATTTGATTTTGGAGAAACTGAATATTTACAGTGGAAACCAGCTTTCTCTCCTGTGTATTCATGCATTATTTCCACAGAAGACAGACTACCACTGCATGGCAGCTTCGTGTAGCTACTGACGGGCCTAATTTCTAATGCAGCTTCTGGTAGAAAAAAAAAGGCTGTTTCCCAAGTGCTTAGTATCCATCAACTCCAAGAGACAGGGTTGTGCTTTCATGGGGTTCTTTCCAACAGTTCGGCTGTATGTTTCGCATTCCAATGCACATAAGGTTTAACTCAATTTTGCTTACTCTTTATGGCGTGTACAAACACATAGTCTCAAAATAACTGCTATTCTCAGACATTTCTAGATACATCTTCTTGCATTTCCACCTTCATTTGATTACAACATAGAATTTACAACACCTGAGACTACAACAGGGCACGAAACACAGCTCTATCCAGGAATTATGACTTGATAGGTAACGAGTGACAAGGATTTGATTCTTTAATTTTACAAACAACATCACAGCAATACACAAAGCCTAGGTGAGTATTTGGTTAGCCTGTGTTCTAATATGAGTGTTCTTGCATGAAAAGGTGGTTCCTACTTACTGTCTAGTCACTGGCACACACACAGTTTCCGTATTTCAGAGAAAGGCCTTGATTAGGAATCTAGTCCCCTTTGAAACCCAAGTCCCATGTAGACCATGTGTGCTGTCCCATGCTGGTAGTGAACTGTATTCCTGAAGCATCTGCTTTGAAGAGATCTCTTAAGTGGTTTCTAACCATGGGCTCCACTTGAACCTCGGGTTAATCTTTTACAGTGTCAGATTGTATTAGGCAGACTTATAACTTCTGGGAAAAAGTCACCCTTTGGCAAGTGTTCCATTTACAACTTTATGGACAAGCATTTTGTAAAGTGCAGTGAATAGGTTGGATATTTGTCCATGCCTGGGAACTCATCCAAGCACAGGGGCTTACAGAAACCCTAATGTAGAGAGAAAATCAATTATTTCTTTCCCTGTTGTTAGCCAAATCTTGGCGACTATTCATCTTACGTGTAATGATGACTAGTATGCGTCGAATGGCAAGCAGACGCTCTTTCAAGGATGTCATGCCGAGGATGGCCAGTTGAGCCTTACGTTCCAATGGTAACACAGCCAGGATCCACCAGGACCAGGAAGGGCCAATAGAATTGCTCTGTGAAAGACCAGAGCATAAGATTAGTGTTTAATGTATAGGCCTGTTCCCCAGTTGTCTTTTGTTTGACCAGTGAACTCAAGCCAAGAATTAAACACCACCTTCTTCTGTAGGGCTAGGTCACAATTCCTTCAGCCTTCCAAATGCACAGTTTACTGTTATGGCACATATTCAGCAGAAGAACTCACAAAAAGCTTGCCAAGAGAAACACTTTCCATAGGGAAACACATGAATTAGTTGCTTCTGTTCCCCCTGAGTCTCCAGATAAGGTTGTATACCCATCAGAGGGAAAGACCAAGAATCTTACTCCCATGTACCAATGTTCTATGCTATTGTTTTTTAAGTTATAAGCAGCTATTTAAAGCTAAAAGTATTAGTATAATTTATACAAGTTTGAGTAACATAAGAAAATCTTAAAGTCAATGTGGCAAATGTATACAGGTATAAAACATACATGGATACACGTTATTCTATGTGGTAATTATCATGAATTTATAAACATATAGATGAGACATATATGCAAATTTTATATACATACACATGTATGTGCATATGATAGCCTTTATTTCACATAACCAAACAGATATTCTGAACTGAGCTCTAAGCAAAGTTGATCCTCAACCTGCTCCTGCTCAGGAGGCTGGGATGAAGACATCCAAATCTATTTTCTTCTGCAGTCTTAGTCTCCTCTATTCCCAAACACAGGTACCAACTAGGAGCTAACAGGAGTAGACTCCAGTGGTTTTAGCTTAGGGTGGGGCAAGTTCACTGGAGAATTAGGAATAACCTTTTAGCAGAAGCTCAAAGGGCATCCCAAGTCATTGTCAGGAAGACTCTGGCCTGCCCTTTAGAGGTAACCCACAACCTAAAGGCCCTCCATGAGCTCACAGTCTCCTTTTCCATTTGCCCTATGGAGTCGGGGGAAATAGGTATCACACTTAATGGAATGGAATGCACATAAAATATCCCCACTAACTAAAATCCTTGTTATTACTTGTGATATTACTACTTGTTATTATTTGTGATAATAGCAATAGAGTGCAAGTACATGTACTAGTTAGAGATTAATCTGAGTTGATAAGGAAAAAAAACCCTTATGATTCTCATGCCAATGGCAAGTTAGTCTAATGACTTTGCCTTCTAAATATGAGTAACAGATGTGAAAAGGGTGTGATGAGATGGTCAGCCAGGATGTGGGGATGACTTTGGAATGTAAAGCTGGGTTTCCTAAGCTTTCTTCACTCATCATCTTTTTCCACCTAAGAAATTCTTGCAGGACAAGGTGGCACATAACTTTAATCCCAACACTTGGGAGGTAGAGGCAGGCAGATCTCTGTGAGTTCAAGGGAGACCTTGTCTCAAAAAGACCGAAAAAAAAAAAAAGGAAAAAGAAATACTTAGGAGACGCTATAATGCATAAAGGTATCTAAAAGAGGTATACAAATCGGCATTTACTAAGACAAATAAAAATTTACTACTAATAAACCATAAGCACATATACTTATAGTTATACTATTAGAGCTTAAAATAAAATATGAATTAGATGGATATACTTATTTAACACAAAGAAGTAAATCACAGCTAAGCAAAGTATTCTATGTGTGCCTGATGGCTTTAGTTGTCAACTTGACACACCTGGGTAGAAGGAGCCTCAATTGAGGAATTTCCCTTGGACTGGCCTGTGGTCATATCTGCAGGGGCACTTTCTTGATTGTTGACAGATGTGGGAGGGCCCAGCCCACTGTGGGAGGTGCCACCCCTGGGCAGGTTGTTCTGTATTGTATACTAAAAGCAGCCAGGGAGCAAGCCGGTATGCAGCTTTCCTCCACGGTCTGTGCTTCAGCTCCTGCCTCCAAGTTCCTGCTCTGAGTTCCTACCTTGGTCTCCCTCAGTGATGAACTGTGACCTGGGAGTTCTAAGATAAAATAAACCCTTTCTTCCCCAACTTGGTTTTGGTCAGTGTTTTTATCACAGCAATTGAAAGCAAACTAAGAGAAATTGGTACCAGAGAGTGGGTTATTGCTGTGACAGTCCTAACCCATGTATTTTTGGGGGAATTGTGGAAGCATTTGGTACACTGGGTTGGAAAAGTCATTGAGTGCTTAGAGTTTAGTGAGCTATTGCTGTGTAGCTTGAAACAGTTATGCTGAAAGAAGTGTAGATGAAAGAGGCCTTGTTTGTGAGGCTTTGAAGGGATGTAAAGATTATCAGGGCTGTCTGTATGGTATTTTAAATTGAGAATCTGTTTCTGGTCAGCTGGACTGAATAGTCAGCTATGATTAAGAGGAGACCAGAACCACTGAAATGAAACCTTTGCTTTACTGGACAGTTGACGCTGGTTAGCTGGGGCTGAAAATCAGCAAGTAACAAGAGACCAGCATCATTGTGGCAAAATCTTCTGGGAAGTATTTCCTCAAGGCCAGCACATAAAAGTTGTGGTTCAGAGGGGGCCCCAGAGTCTATCTCGAGCTGGAAGCAGAACTTGGTAATATGTAAGAGTCTCTTGCATGGTTCTGGTGTTGAAGGTCTGAAGGGGTCATGGAGAGAATCTGAAGCTTTGTACCCCGAGAAGCCAGGAGCACCTACTGAAGGTACAGCCTCAGTCTCAGTCAAGACTCCAGCATATTGGAGATGCCAGGATCATGGAGCAATCACCAAGGGCAGTGGCAGGTGTGGAGTGAAGCCAGTCTGAGCCTGTGGATGGCAGTGACAGAGACGTGAAGCTGCTCAAGCCTTTTGGAGCCCAGAAGATCGCTGAGTGAATGTCTAGCCTTGAGCTACTTTGCTGGACTTTGGTTTTGCTTAAGTGTGCCAAAATCTTCCCTTTTGAAATAAAACAGTATTTCACTTGTTTTGGATTTTACAGGAGGCCACAGTTAAGAAACTATTAGGAGAGCCCACTCTGAAAGTGTTCGAATTTTTTAAAGACTGTGGGACTTTTAAAGTTGTACTGCTTCATGTTGTAATATTAATATTGACATGAGATCTTGGGGATAAGAAATGGAAAGGTTGTGGTTTAATGTGTTTGTGTGGCAAGTTGACAAGGGGTCAACTGTACTGGCTAGCTTCAGTTGTCAGCTTGGCATATCTGGGTAGAGGGATTTTTTTTTTTTTAGTATTTTACTTATTATTTTATGTATATATGCGTGCATTGCCTGCCTATGTGTATGTGCATCTGTGTCGTGCAGTACCCGAGGAAATCAGAAGAAGGCATTAGATTCCCCTGGAACTGGAGTTACAGATGGTTGTTAGCTACCATGTGGGTGCTGGGAACTGAACCTGGGTCCTCTGCAAGAGCAGCCAGTGCTCTTAACGGCAGAGCTCTCTCTCCAGCCCAGGGATTCTTAATTGAGAAACTGTCTCTATTGGATTGGCCTGTGGCCAAATCTGTGGGGAATTTTCTTGGTTGTTGAGTTATGTAGGAGGGCCTAGCCCAGCATGGGCAGTGTCACCCCTGGGCAGGTGGTCCTGTATGTATAAGAGAGAAGGCTGAGAATGGGCCAGGAGAGCAAGTCAGTAAGCAGCGTTCCTCTATAGCCTGTGCTCCAGCTCCTGCCTCCAGGTTCTCCCCCCTGAGTTCCTACCCTGACTTCCTTCAGTGATGAGCTATGACCTGGGAGTTGTAAGATAAAATAAACCCTTTCCTCCCCAAGTTTGTATGGTTAGGTTTTTTGTTTTTTTTTTTTTTAATCACAGTAATAGAAAGCAAAGTAAGACACTACGCTTCAGGACACAGAGCATCTTCAGTGTCAGAGCTGGATAATATTCCGATTGCATAACTGTCAATGTTCAGAAAGCCACTTTATATAAATATACAGTATGTTTAGGGCCATTTTAGAAACTGGAAATTCTGTTCTAATTCCAAGCTGAAGTTCATTGATTTTTTAAAAAAAAATCATATTCAAGTTATCAACTCAAACAGCAATTAAAAAAATCAAACATTTTGTTTTAGTTGTTTGTTTTTGAGACAGGGTCTCTCTGTAGCCCCAGCTGGCCTGGGACTTGACCAGGCTGCCCTTGATTGCACAGTGATTTGCCCGCCTCTGCTTCCAAGTGCTAGGATTAAAGGCATGAGCTACCACACCCAGCTCAAACACTTTAATACTCTGATCTAAGAACATACTAATTTGATTCATACTGAGAATGATAGTAGAAAGTATTCTTTGTTTTCTACAAATTAAACAGCAATGTTCCTGTAACAGCAGAAAAATTGTACATATATAGTGAAAAACAAAACAAAACATTATAATGCATAACAAGCAAAAGTCTCAGATCCCAGGCAGTGTGTTTTGGCAGCACACATTGGTATGTCACATGACAGCATGGGCAGCGTAAAGCTGTGTGTTCAGAACCAAGGTTATGGTGAGGTCTTGGGTAAACACAGCTAGAAGCACCCCAGATTCATTATGCATTTGATTTGCATTTGTGGTAGTCACTGTGCACTCAGAAACCTTAAACTGCAGGCAGAGGCAGATGGATATTTGTGAGTTCAAGGCCAGCCTGGTCTACATAGAGAGCTCCAGGACAGCTGGGGCTACAAGGAAGCCCTGTCTCAAAAAGACAAAACAAAACAAAACAAAACAAAACAAAACAAAACAAAAAACCCTTAAACTGCTGGGAATTTTTTATTTCTCAATCCCCGACACTCAGTTATGTGACTCCATGTGGAGATACAGCCCACAGTTTGAAAAGCTGGGATTTAAAGCTCTTTTCTGAGTTTGAGAAACAGAACTCAGGAAGAAGGTAAAAGAAAGAACCCTCAAGAGACAAGAGAAGACAAAGATGGACGAGGAAAGGCAAAATACAGCTCATCCTGTACCACACCTGCTGAATGCTGGTCCTACACACACAAATCTCTGTAACTGAGGTGTGCACCCACGTGCAGCTGGAAGGCCTTACAGTTTCGGTTACAGTTCGAAACCTGTGCCACTCTCTCATTCAACTGTGAGTCTCTTGTATTTAGAAATACTCCACAAGTTGAAGCCTATTTATTGTCTGAAGGACCAGGTACAACAAATGCACACACAGCTCACGAGCATAGGACAGACAAGAAACTTAGGAACAAGAATTACAGGGTTTGATGGGGTTTTTTCTTCATTTAGTAAACATCTACTCATCACACATCAGGCAGCATTATGTGTAAACGTGTGCTCGTACCAATGTGATAAAATTGCTAGCTCAATCTTAACAGTGCTGACAAGAGAAGGGAAATTTCAGAATCTCGTAGCCATGGAGAACAGAATGGCTTTGTTAAAAATGATCTTCACATACTGGTAGAAACATCTGTTTGCTGCCCAGGACACATGCTACTATGTTAAGTGCTACCTTGGGTTGCTAGGAGCTTGCTCTGAATTGTAATGGAGTGCAGGGCTGTGCTGCCAAGTTTCCCATCAGAATGATGTGCCTTAGCACATTACAGCAGGACCAGTAAGCAGTGTTATGAAAGACAGGAGATGTACCTGTGGCTCAGGCTCCCTGTCTGGCATCAACCCAAAATGACTTAAAATTTGTTCTTTCATGTGATCTTGGAGAGAAGCAAACCAGGAAACAGACTGCTGATGAACAGAATCATGAAGAGCAGCGAGTTCTTCATATTCTGGGCCTTCCACCTGGCCAAGGAAGAGAGAGGCATTTGAGTCATTCACTGCAGACAAGGACTCCATACACCAGCACAGTCAGTGATGTCTACTGGCCAAGTGACTGTGACATTTACTCCTTCACTAATTCTCTATTGTTTCACAAAAATGACACAGTTAATATAAAAGCATTGTAATTTATATACGTGAGGTTTATCAGTTGCATCCTAGTTTTCTTTTAAAACTAACATAAGCATGTAGTAATTTTCAATAAATGATAATTCTAAGGATTTCCTCCTCCTATGTTAATGTTTTTCTTATAATTTACTTATCAAAACACCATCATAGATCTTGTTAGGTTCAAAGAGTTTTTTATCAGTTGCACAAGCGAGCCATCATACCATGACCCTAAACAGGAAAAGGAATATTCCTATTATGTAAAAAGACTCCACAGCTCTTTTTCCAGTCAGGTACAAAGCCCATCCTACATTTTCTGCCTTCTATGTCTGGAAAATAGTTTTGTCTGTTCCTTCTATGTAAGAGGCAACACGTTTGCCTGATGCTGTGAATACTAAACACACCGTATGTATTTATCATGTCTGACTTCTCTCACTTAGCATGTCTGTGAGATTCATCCATGTAGTTTAGGGCACTGGCTCATTTTGTTTTGTTGCTAACTAATACTCCACTGTATGAATGAGGAAGATGCTTTTCCATCTCCCTGCTGAGGAGCACCTGGACCGTTTCTAGTTTCTAGATATTGATGAGATGTCTCTGCACATGCCTTTTTGAAGCTCTGTTCAAAATACTTTGGTAATTTGTCAAATTATGTGTCCTGACATTTCTATTAGATACAAATAATTTTCAAGGGGTAAGAGTTTGAAGTCTTTTATATTGGATTTGGGAGGCACTTTTAAGCGCTACAGTTTTAAGTTATGTCTAATTCTGTACCAATAATTAGATCAAGGACTGACAAACCACTGCTTGTGAGTCAAATGCTGGTTGGTCACCACCATGCTTTCATAGACAACATTTTATTGAAAACCAGTCAGGTTCACTCACTTACATATGATCTATTGCTGCTGTTTTACTCTAAGATAGCCTCTTAGCTGTAACAGAGACCATATGACCTGCAGAGTCTAAACCACAAATGTCCCTTAGAATCTGTGAGGAACTGAGCTAGTATATTCCCTGTGGACACCACAATTCATGAAATGATGTGGTATTGTATTTGCATGTAACCCACATGCATCCCCCTTTATACTCTGAATCATCTGTTTATTACTTATAATACCAAATATAATGTAAATGCCACATAAATACTTGTTATCCTTTATTGCTTTGTTTTTGAGACAGTGTCAAACTATGTTGCCCAGACCGGCCTCAAACTTGTGGGTCAATGGATCCTTCTTTAGTCCAGAAAAGCTGGGGCTATAGATATGTGCTACACACAGCTATACCATGTTGTTCAGGGAATAACAAGAAGGCAAACATGCTTTTTCCTCTGGAAGACACCAAACGGCAGATGGTGCTGGTATAGCAGGACCAGGGCACCTAGGCTTAGGAGGATTCAGCAGCTGTCTCTGGGCCACAGTCAGGGTCAGGGCTGTAGTGGGGGCCAGGCAGTCTGTGGAGCCCAGTTACCAAGCTGGATCACCTGGTCAGAACACGAAGATTAATTCCTTGGAGATCTTCCTGTCTTCCCTCCCCATCACAGAGCCTATGATTACTGACTTTTTCCTGATGGCACCCCTTAAGGATGAGGTTTTAATATCATGCCAGCACAGAAGCAGACCGGCTGGACGGTAGGCCAGGTTCAAGGCTTTTGTCACCACTGGGGACTACAATGGTCATGTTGATCTGGGTGTTAAGGGCTCCAAGGAGGTAGCCACTGCCATTCAAAGGACCATCACCTTGGCCAAGATTTCCATTATCCCTGTGTGGAGAGGCTACTGGGGAACAGGATTGGCAAACCCACACTGCCTCATGCAAGGTGACAGGTTACTGTGGCCCTGTGCTGGTGTGCCTCATCCCTGCCCTCAGAGGCACTGGCATCATCTCTGCTCCCATGCCCAAGAAACTGCTGCTGCTGGCTGGTACTGATGACTGCTGCACATCAGTCAGGGCTCCACTGCCACCCTGGGAAACTTCACCAAGGCTGCCTTTGATGCCATCTCAAGACCTACAGCTACCTGACCCCTGACCACATTCACCAAGTCTCCTTATGAGGAATTCACTGACCATCTTATGAAAACCTACACCAGAGTTTCCTGCAGAAGACCCAAGTTCCAGTTGTGGCTACCACATAGTGTTTTTATGGAAGGAAAAATAAAGTGAATTAAGTCTGTTTAAGAAATAAAGACAGCATACATGTCTGTACATTTTCATTAGAGGCATAATTTTATTTTTGTAATGTTTTCAATTCACCATCCATTGACCCCATGGATTAAGAAACCAGGTGTAGAGGGTCAACTGTATCTGACTCTTATAGGAAAAATTTCTCAGCCATCAGGGTAGAATATCCATCAGTGGTCTACAAGCCCATGCTCCCTAAAGGCAATAGGGTTTTTTATTTTAGGAGATTTCTCTACCAACTCTAACTCAGGTAAAATCCACTGAGAGTAAACAATTTAAGTGCTGGCTTAAGAAAGACCCCAAAGAAATGTAGCCAGTTTCTTGGCTAAAAGTCAAAATGTCCTTGGGCCTGTTAGTAACATAGTCTTGTTCCAAAGGCCAAAAATGTCAAGAGTATTTGGGAGTTTGTATCTAATCCTTAAAAGATTTTAGGGTTACCTCTTCAGTTGGAGGGGAGGGAGTGGGCATGGATTTGATCAAAACATCTTATACACATGTATGAACTTATCAGTAAAGTTTTTGTAAAAGTTAAAAAAAAAAGAATTAAATAAGCAATACAGCTTATAGAAATCTGACAACTTCTTTCCATGACGGAGAGGACAGTAAGGGAAACAACATCTATGAATATGCTAGTAAGATGATCCTCACCTTTTCATCTTCCATGTATTCGATGTCTGCTGTGTTATAACCATCTCTGTGACGGTGGCTTAGTACTCTGAACCGGCCAATTCCGACTGCATCCACAACTGAACTTCCATCAGGAAAAGTCCTGACGTCCTTAATCTCTAGCATGCAGCCATATTCTGAGATCCTGAAAGGATGGTTGGGGAAAGCGGTAAGTTTTTAAAATACAAGAGGCTTTTATTTTTAGCTACATCAAAATTTAAAAGGCTTTTAAAAGGAAAACAAAGTCAGACTGAACAAAGGGTGTCTCTGCATCAGACCAACAGGTTATTAACTTTAAGAAGCAGCCATCTTAGGGTTTGGATCTTGGTTTTAAGAGTCTTACGGTGAGCAAATTTACTGTGTAGCTCCCAAACTAAGATGAACATTAATTCTTAAGTTACAAGCCTATTTCCATATCCAATAAAATTCTTCCTTCCTGGTTATCTAATGACAATCTCATTCACCTCTGTGGTATACATGGAGGTACCCTGAAGATGCCTTTCAAGGGAGTACTGGATAGTTTTCAGCCTCTAAACGTCAGCTCCACCCTCCCATGTCTTCATCAGCTGCAGAGCCTGTCCCACCCAGGAATGTCTTGTCTGTGGACAAGAACCTGTGAGTGGGGCAAACCTCTCTTGTGTATAGCACCCAGGGGATCCACAGTCTCACAGTGTTCCATACTAGGCCATCAACCTGTCCTTTTTAAAGATTAGGTGAAGGGGCATGGAGGGATAGCTTGGCCGTTAAAGGCTCAGTATAACAACTAACAAAAAATTAAAAATTAGGTGAGGGGCTGGAGAATTGGCTCAGAGGATTAAGAGCACTGATTGCTCTTGCATTAGATTCAGATTTGGTTCTCAGCACCCACATGGTGACTAACAGCCATCTGTAACTCCAGTTCCAGGGGATCTGATGCCCTTTCTGGCCTCTGTGGGTACTGCAGGAAGGTAGTATACCTACATGCTGACAAAATGCTCATACACATTAAATAAAAATAAAGAAATCCCTCCCCCCATTTTTTCAATTAGCTGAATTCTTCCCACACATTTCTCTCTCTCTTTTATCCCTTCCCTGGATGGACCTGAGTGGCCTCTACTCTCTGATGTATTTGGATTTTTCTTCTTTGGATGGGAATAACATTCTCTCCAGGGTTCTACACTCTTGTAAATCCTATAGACTTCTTCATTTTGCTTGACTTTTAATGAGTGAATTTTAATATATACTAGTTTACAAATCTCTTCTTGTATACTACTATGTACACCCAGTATTATATATAAAAACCTTCATCTTCTCCTAATTAAGGAAACAGTTCCTAATATCACCTCTTACATTTTTTATATTTTATGATTTTCACTTTTCACACAAGGAATGTTTTATATATATATACATATATGTATGTATGTATTTGTATACATGGTATAAAGCAGAGATTTTTGTTGTTCTAATGTTTAGTTTATCCATTATCCACTTATGGGAACCTTTTATTGAGTGGTTTATCTCATGAAATTATATGTAAATCTGCAATTTGCACAAGAGTGGCTCTAGTTCTGATCTCTATGCTCTGTTTCACTGTCTGCTGATTATGGTTTAAGATTCTCATGTCAGAGGAATGACTTCTTCAAAACTATCTGACCTTGGTTCTTTGCTTTGTCACACTAATTCTAAAATGGGGAAAAAAAATCATCATGAGATGCCGAATGGAATAGCTTTGGAATTATAGACTTGTCTGGACTGAAATGGTCTTTCTGTGGCATCCATCAATGTGGCATTTCCAGTTAGCACTTCCTGGACTTCGTTCAGTAAAGTTAGGATATTCCTTATATATGTATATGTTCTTAAATTATTTATCCCTGAGTATTTATGGCACAAACTGTTGGGCAGTCCTTAAAGTCCATTCTCTTCTTCATGGGCACATGAACACACTACATTTCCCAGACTTCCTTGCAGCAGGCGGCATAAGCCAGATGGCCTTTTTTTTTTTTCTGTAGAGTCCTTTAAGAGTACATGGACATCTTCTACCACCTAGCACTTAGATGTGGCAACCTCATCATGCCATGTAGTACTGATGCAGCCCTAAGGGACATGGAGGGACCCCAGTCTCCATAGCAGCCCCAGAAGGGAACTGTCTGCTATCTTCAAACATCTTCCCTATGCAACTGATGTGAAGCAACAAGACATGAAAACAAGGTCCATAGTTCTTAGTGAGACTGAAAATGTTACAGCTGTGAAAAGTGAGAAAAGCTTCACTGAAGATGTGGCCATTTTCTAGTCCGTAAAATTGAACTGGATTTGTCTATATGTAAATGGGCAAGAAGAGAAGTTCAGGCAGAGGGAAGCATGGAGGTCCAAAAGCATGTGCTTCCATGAGCCAGAGCAGGGGAATCAACATGGTAGTGGATGAGCAAGTGTGATGGTTGAACAGAGGGCGTAGGAACAAGTCAAGGAAGAAAGGAACTGTATTGGCTAACCTTAAGGCTAGCTTCTACCTTGTGGGAACTGATGGGACCCACCAGAGCTCTGCAAGCATCACCCTTAACTACTCCTCAAGAAGAAGAGAAAGTGTACACTTCATTAGGACCCTTAGATGCTGGCAATTCTTACCCTGCATTCTTGGCAGATAAACACATGCCAAATCGCTTGGTGCCAGTTTCCATGCATCTTCTTATCATGAGCCGGTAGCGGGGCTCAAAGACATGGAGTGGACAGGGAACTGTGGGGAAGGCCATGGCACACACAAAGATGGGCACATCTCTGGTCAGACTGCAGAACAAGGGAAAACATTAACTTAGGCATGTGAGCTGTTAGGAACAGATGAGAAAAGTCGCTAAAACAGCACAAGCTAGCCAGCTTCAGTCCTCTCACTTACAAAGCAAAACCCTCTGGCCTGACTCAGGACAGCCAAAGACCCTGGCAAGAGAAGACTCTCCACACACCCAAGTCTGTCTCATTAATTTGATGTGAGAGAACATCCTGAGTTGTATCACTGTGTTTGTTTTAAAAGTTATAGCTTTTTATTACACTAAAAAATTCTACACAAAGCAAAAACTACGAAGGAAACAAATATTCAATGAAAGAGAAGATATAAAGTCTACATGGAAACACCAAACTTTCACCATCTAAAGAGAGGAAAAAATCTGTTAAGAATATGAGGAGTCACAATCCTAAGTACTACTTTCTGTTCTGTTTTCTGTCTTTCCATTTAGACAAGTTATTTAAGTATAGAAAGCAAATATATAATTAAAAATATACTTTTGAATATTTCTTTTAATTCTTTACATGTTCACAAATATTTTCAACTTTGTTTTTCATTTACAGGATAAACAGTTCTGTCATGAAAAAACAATGAAATGAGGTAGAGATCAAGAAGGACTTTCTTCACCAACCTGAGCTCAGGACCAAGGTCACATAGCACAAGCACTTACTTTGATAGTTCCGACATTTCTTCATCATAAATTCTCTTCCTATCAGACAGCTCCTCTGATAAATATCGGAATATCAGTTCTTCGGCCAGAATAGTTATATTAAAATTTCTGGTTGCCAACAACTATAACAAAAAAGTATGTTAAATGATGCCAAATTAATCCTAAAGGACCAAGCTTAGCACTGAGTTGAGCCTGAGAGATTTGTTTGGTAGAGAGAACGTAGGCTGTGTAGTGCTTACTATCTGGGTAACCAGTGCTCCTGGAAACACAGTGAAAAGAGCAGAGGTCTTCATCCTTGGGGAGCTTATATTTTACCAACTTCCAGGATATGCTTCTTTTTTTCTCTCTTGAAACAATGTTACTGACAGTTTTCATACAAAAAAAAAACATGCATTACTGTCATTTTCACACATATACATCATTTGCCAAGTTTTGCTTCTTTCCATAGTTCCCCAGGAAGCAGCATTAAACACAGAAGGGAGAGATATGTGTTACAAATGGCCAGGTTTGTTTTTACTTTCATGAGCATAAGATAGCCATCTTCAGGCCCTTTGGCCCAGGCAAACATGGATGCAGCAAGACAGCAGGACAGATGCTCTGTTAGCAAGAGATGGTTAACACCAGGGGGAAGATTGCAGAGGAGCTGCCTAAGGAAACAGCCACACACTCAGAACATATCCAACACCATTACACATGTGCGAAGTGCAGTAGCTGATACACTGAGACCCTGAAAAATTTAGGAAGATGCAATATGCATGCAGTTTAATAATGCAAGTATGTATGTATGCTTCAGAAATGTTTTAATTATGATGCCTTGTTTTAACATGGCAATGAGTCAAAAAGTTACAATTACTTTAATGTTATTTATTTTTATTTTATATGTTTGAGTGTTTTGCCTCTGTGTATGTTAAGTATGTGTGCAATGTCTGAAGAAGCCAGAAGAAGGTGTCAGATCCACTGGAACTGGAGTAATGGATGGTTATTAGCTGCTACATGGGTGCTGGGAACTGCACCCAGGTCCTGTGCAAGAGCAGCCAGTGCTCTTAACTGCTGAGCCATCTCTCCAGCCCTACTTTAAAAGTTACTTAATTTTAACACCTCCTCTTGCCATGCCAGGTTGCAGAAACTCACTTTAGGGCTAGGAGTGCAGCTCCATCACAGTGTGCATGCTCAGTGTGCTAGAGGAAGGGGAGAGGAGAAAAAACGCTATTCTGCTAACAATTGCATGCAGTGAATTTAATTTCTGGAAGGCAATTAAAGCAGAGATTATTAGTCTCATTCTAAGGCTATAAAAGAAGCCCTCTACACCCTTACAAGAGGTTAGATAATTTGTTCCATGGGAAGTAAGTGGAACCAGCACCTTGTATACAGTGATGTAGAGTTATTGTTGGAGAAATTGACCAGAAGAGCTCCTGCTTTTAAATACTGCACATTTTATCTCTTTCATCTGCAGCCAGAACAAATGCATTTAACAGTGTGTGTGGGGGTTGTATCTTCCCCATGTACCCTGCATTTTATGGTTTTGATGTCAGACCAAAGTCCGTAACAACTGATACTGGAAAGAGCATTACAGAGGCTCAGTAACAGGAAGGGAGGACCTTCAATTCCAGGCAAAGCTCCAGAGATGAGGCACAGGAGAATCCTTGGCACACACTAAATGTGCCATAATGTGTCTCAATCATTTATAATGAGCACACTGTAAGGGCTTAGCAATGTTAGCTGTTTCAATCTACTTAAAAATACTTTTTACTTGAACGTTTCCTTAAAATTTAGCTACATCTGCATCTAATGCCTCCTTATGTTTTGACTGATGAAAAAGGTGGGAAATAGCTTATCTACCTTTGACTGGAGAGTTTAACAAGTGGGTAGTAGAAGCAATGCAGGACATGAAATGATGTCTACTGAAGTATAAGAAGAGAAGCCTGGCACTGCACACACCGCTTACCTCTGACAGCTTGTCTTTGCACAGCGGACAGTGTGGAGCATGGTCAAGGCAGCGCTCAAGGCATTTTAGGCAAAATGTATGTCCACAGGGAGTAGTGACAGGCTCAAAGAGCAACCTGGAAAGAAAATGTGTGTTTTCAAAAGATATGTTCAGAACAGACTTTCAAATAAACTATCTGTTTTGGAAGGATACCTTATGCAGTTGCCATACAACTTGAAATCATTTATATCTACTGCCCTTTTATATCTTCATCAAATTTTTAGACAATACATCAATTATTGTTGATACATATCATGATATATATGTTGATATATATCATATATATATGACTTCTCTAACTGAAAGTGCACTGCTCGTAGTTATAGAATTCAGAAAATCTTACTGCACACATCAGCCTACCTCATGCATAGAGCACACTCAAAGTCAGTTACATCCATCAGGAACTCTGGATCTTCTTCCATCTTAGAGCTCATGTTCCTCTGAGGCAAAGAATCCACATCTGAAAATTTTTCAGTGTTATAAATGGCATCTGAACATAATAGTAACATCATGCAATGAATGTGTTTCCTCTGCATAAAGTGAGTTGACATCAGTGTTAACAAATGATGCTAGGAAAAAATGTTTCTTTTCTAGCTAGGATATGGCAAGAACTTACCTGGGCAGTACACATGAAGAAAGTTACATGTAAATTGTCTATTTTTTGCTCTAAGTTTCTGCAAGATTAAATTAACTATAGAAAATGAACTAGTATACTCATTTCATTATTGATTTTACTTGTGTAAAGATTTAGAAAACAAACCAACTGGCTAATATTCTATTACTTTGGATTATAGACTATCATAGGAAAAAAATAGCTCATTGACCTTTCTTAGGAATTTTTCCAGGCACATTCATGTCACACACATCTTCCATATCACTTGGAAGCTGTCTCTTTAAAGTGTTTCTGGGTGGAGCTGGGATGATGTCTTCCAATGCCTTTTTATCCTCTTCGCAGTGTAGACCCAGAATAAAATATAAAATTGAAGACTTGGCATTCCTGAATGCATCAGACATCTTGGATGGATTCTGGTTACACAGGAAAAAAGAATCCTGAATATTCAAGAAGCCAAGAAACCAAGGATATAAGAAAAAGATATCCAGTAATGTATATTAGAAATCTCTGAAAAAGGGGCTGGGGAGATGGGCCAGTGGATCAAGTGTTTGCTGTGCAAGCATGGGACCTAAGTTTGGATCCTCACCACCCACATAAAATCTGGGTGCACCTAAAAGGAAAGTATAACCAAAGAGTAAAATCATCAGTATATTTCTTTAAGAGTTCAAGGGATTACACTTCCCAGACAGTAGGCTTAAGTCTATACAAAAAGTTATTTAGACAATTATTTCTCATTGATGATTTTGTTCCTAACCAGAAAGTGCTGCTCAGTTGTAAGACTTCAAATCTTGGTCTACAATACTGTAGTGCCCACCTGTAGCTAGAGAAGACAACCAGCTTTTATTGTGAAATTTGTTTTCTCCCCCTATTTCAGAAGCCTTTGAGAGGGAACTGACACTGATTCTAACTACTCCAACTGCTATCGAAATACCTGAAAGCAAATCCTCAGTCCATCACTCTAGAACCCAGCCTTGGAAGACAAAAGAAAAATGAGGAGGAACCCAATAGAGGGATGCTTTTTGAAGCCCTTGTCAAGAAATTCCAATGGACTCTCATGTGAACATTTAAAATTTGCCGTTTTTTTTTTTCTAGTTCCCTGTTTAGAACTTGTAATGCTAATTACTCTTGCCTTTACTTCTCCTTCACATCTATTCACCAGTCAAGGACTTTCTTTCCCCCCCTACAGATAAGAGTTATGCAACCTGGGAGTCTTTTAGATAGATCCACTGAAGGGGTACCCCATTGCCCTATCCTGAATCCCTGTTCAGCATGGAAGAAGCCAGAGTGGTCTGTGTCCCAATTCCCTA